TTGGACAATCATTTATCTAAAATGGTGTAGGGTCTCCTGCTTGAGCAGGGAGCTGGACTAGAAGACCTCCAAGGCCCCTTCCAACCCTTGTTGTTCTTTGTGCAGAAAAAGAAGCACAAGAAATCCAAGCACAAGGGCAAGCACAAGAACAAGAAATCTGAGAAGAACAGCAGCTCAGACACAGCCGAGAGCAAAGACAGCAGCAGTGAGGAAGGAAAGACGAATATATCACCCCGGGAACTTTTAAGAAGGTAAGCAGCAGGTAACTCCAGCTGTCTGCAATTAGTAACTTTTGTTCTCTCGTGTGAATTATATTATCTCTTCTTTACATGTTGGTCATTTGGCTTTAATGAGACAGGTTTTTTTTTTCATTATTTGAATAATAATCAAATCAGTTGATGGTGTCTAAACTTTCCAGCAAATTTGGAAAGATAATCAGTTGAAGGAAGAGTGCCATAGGCATTCTCTTTATTTAGAAAAACAAGATGAGCGGCAAATAAATCTAATAAAGAGATAAACAAATTGTCAATATGTAATTATGGTTGACATTTTTAAATTGCTCATTTAAAAATCAATGTCTTAAGGTTTATTTTTTAGAATTTAAAAGCCTTTTAAGAATTGATAGAAAGGCTGTAGTTTGGCTTCCAGTTTGGATTTTTTAAAAATTGAAATTATTTTATTTATTAAAATATATTTCTTCTCTTTATTCCTCTGTTTATTTTAGGATGAAAAATCTTCCACTTGTAAAGCGGTAGCTCGGATTGCATTTCTGGACTCAAAACAGATCTCCTCTGTGATGGCAGATCATCCATATAAAGCATTGTTAATGACCTGTAAATACAGTATTTGTCTTGGATTTGTTTATTTCATTTTAATTTCAAAGTTTAAAAAAAAAGAAAAAGGAAAACCAAAATTCTGCACAGTGCAAAAGGTTCTATTCCGCGAGGGACAATGAAAATGCTGCATTTTAATGATAAAAGCATGAGAAAATTTAAATAAACTAATTTTACTGATCTTCCGCGTTTTCAAATATTTTGTTGAGAGATCTTAAGTGCCAATGTGAGAAGGATCTTTTTGTAGTATGTTGGAGTGAGCGAACTCTTGGTTGGGGTGAGTTGTCCGGCAGCAATTTGGCCATGGTGATTTGACTGGCTAGTTGGCCGCGGTGAGGTCAGGGTCTGGCAGATGTGAGCGGCTCTTGGTTGGGGTGCACAGCTGCTTTGCTGAGCCAGAGGTCCCAGCAGAAATGTTCATCCATTGAATGCCTAAGAAGATAAAGGTAAAGGTTCCCCTTGCGCGGGTGTCAGCAACCTGCGGCTCCGGAGCCTCATGCGGCTCTTTGGGCCCTCTGCTATGGCTCCCTGTCGGGTGATCCCACCACTGGCTGGCCCCCACCTCCTCGCCCTCCCCTCCCAGTCACTCCTCGCCTGGGGCAAATAAAGAGAAATGGAGGGAGAGAGAGGGGGAAATGTCAAAAGGGTTTTGTGGTTCCCAGTGTTTTTTAACAACTGGTTCTTTGCCCTAATGACCTGCTGGGTAGGCATGGCTGGGGGGGTCATGTGACTGGTGGAAGTGAGTGATGTTGAGTTGGCCACGCCCACCCAGGTTTTGTGGCTCCCGGTGTTTTCTTTTCTGTGGGAAACACATCCAAATGGCTCTTTTGAGTGTTTAAGGTTGCAGACTCCTGCCCTTGCACATATGTGCTCGTCGTTCCCGACTCTGGGGGGCGGTGATCATCTCCATTTCAAAGCCGAAGAGCCAGCGCTGTCCGAAGACGTTTCCATGGTCATGTGGTGGGCATGACTCAATGCCAAAGGCGCACGGAACGCTGTTACCTTCCCAACAAAGGTGGTCCCTATTTTTCTACTTGCATTTTTTACCTGCTTTTGAACTGGTAGGTTGGCAGAAGCTGGGACAAGTAACGGGAGCTCACCCCATTACGCAGCGCTAGGGATTCGAACCGCTGAACTGTCAAACTTCTGATTGACAAGCTCAGCGTCTTAGCCACTGAGCCACCGTGTCCCTCTAAGAAGATTAGAAGTACCAAATGAGGAAAAAACATTGACCCCCACTAAAGCAACTGAATGACACCGCGTTTCGGGCAAAGACAGATGCCCGAAAACCCCCAATAGCGCTAACAGCCTTGGTAGTACAGTGGTTTAATGCACCCTGTAATTAACACAGCTGCCTGCAATTTCTGCAGGTTCGAATCTTACCAGGCTCAAGGTTGACTCAGCCTTCCATCCTTTCTAAGGTAGGTTAAATGAGGACCCAGTTTGTGGGGGCAATAAGCTGACTTTGTATAAATATACAAAAGTATGAAGGCTATTGCTTAACGCATTGTAAGCCGCCCTGAGTCTCCGGAGAAGGGCGGCATATAAATCAAATTAAAAAAAAACAAACAGCCTACACTGTTTCAAAGAAACAGCCAATGTGGAAAGTGTTCTTAAGACACTCCATGAAAACCCAGCCAAATCCAGGTCTAGGAGCATCTTGCCCTAAACTTTCTCCCACGTGATTCCCAGATCTGGTCCTGGCAGGATGGGAACACAAAAACAGCCCAAAACAAAGATGTCAGAGAAAACAAACTCTGTTAGGAACAAAGAAGAAAAGAGGGCATTAATCATCCTTGCCAAAGGGCTGGGCGAGGAGCCAGTCTTTAGGGCCCTTTGAAATACCATCTGCAATTTGTGTTCACTGTCCCAGTTCTATCTTTATAATAGCCCCCCCCCCAGCCTCCTTTGCTGGCTGGACAACCTCCCTCTTTAGCAGGGGTCCCCAAACTTGGCAGCTTTAAGACTTGTGGACTTCAACTCCCAGAATTCCCCAGCATAGGTGGCTGGGGAATTCTGGGAGTTGAAGTCCAGAAGCCTTAAAGCTGCCAAGTTTGAAGACCTCTGACATAAGAGCATAGGTGGCTGGGGAATTCTGGGAGTTGAAGTCCACAAGCCTTAAAGCTGCCAAGTTTGAAGACCTCTGACATAAGAGCATAGGTGGCTGGGGAATTCTGGGAGTTGAAGTCCAGAAGTCTTAAAGCTGCCAAGTTTGAAGACCTCTAACATAGAGCATAGGTGGCTGGGGAATTCTGGGAGTTGAAGTCCAGAAGCCTTAAAGCTGCCAAGTTTGAAGACCTCTAACATAGAGCATAGGTGGCTGGGGAATTCTGGGAGTTGAAGTCCACAAGCCTTAAAGCTGCCAAGTTTGAAGACCTCTGACATAAGAGCATAGGTGGCTGGGGAATTCTGGGAGTTGAAGTCCAGAAGCCTTAAAGCTGCCAAGTTTGAAGACCTCTAACATAGAGCATAGGTGACTGGGGAATTCTGGGAGTTGAAGTCCAGAAGCCTTAAAGCTGCCAAGTTTGAAGACCTCTGACATAAGAGCATAGGTGGCTGGGGAATTCTGGGAGTTGAAGTCCACAAGCCTTAAAGCTGCCAAGTTTGAAGACCTCTGACATAAGAGCATAGGTGGCTGGGGAATTCTGGGAGTTGAAGTCCAGAAGTCTTAAAGCTGCCAAGTTTGAAGACCTCTAACATAGAGCATAGGTGGCTGGGGAATTCTGGGAGTTGAAGTCCAGAAGCCTTAAAGCTGCCAAGTTTGAAGACCTCTGACATAAGAGCATAGGTGGCTGGGGAATTCTGGGAGTTGAAGTCCACAAGCCTTAAAGCTGCCAAGTTTGAAGACCTCTGACATAAGAGCATAGGTGGCTGGGGAATTCTGGGAGTTGAAGTCCAGAAGTCTTAAAGCTGCCAAGTTTGAAGACCTCTAACATAGAGCATAGGTGGCTGGGGAATTCTGGGAGTTGAAGTCCAGAAGCCTTAAAGCTGCCAAGTTTGAAGACCTCTAACATAGAGCATAGGTGGCTGGGGAATTCTGGGAGTTGAAGTCCAGAAGTCTTAAAGCTGCCAAGTTTGAAGACCTCTGACATAAGAGCATAGGTGGCTGGGGAATTCTGGGAGTTGAAGTCCAGAAGCCTTAAAGCTGCCAAGTTTGAAGACCTCTGCTCTATAGAGACCCCGCTGAAGGCGAAATCTGGCTGAGTCAAAGGGGGACCTCAACGGAGGGAGCCCCCCCAGAAGGGTCCGCTTGGACTTTGCTTTGCAAAGCGACGTTGGTTCCGTTCCTTTCCGCCTCGGAAGATCAGATGGACTCCCCGGGCGCGACCTTCGCCCGCTGCAACCGACTCCCCCGTCCCCCACCCCAAAGTCCCAACTTGGCTTAAAGTTACTGGAAGTCCTGAAATCGCCGCCGCCGCCGCCGCGTGCCCGTCCGCGGAGCTTGGTCGGTTGCTAAGAACCGCCGGACCAGCGAGCGAACAGACGGCGGCTTCTGCAGGCAGGAGGAAGAAAGGAGGAAGGGGGAAGGGGAAAAGAAAGGAAAGGGGGAAAGAGAAAGAGGAAGGGGAGAAGGAAAGGAAAGGGAAGGGGGAAGGGAAAAAGGAAAGGAAAGGGGAAGAGGAGAAGGAAAAGAAAGGGAGAAGGGGAAGGGAAGGAGGAAAGGGAAGGAGGAAAGAGAAAGGGGAAAGGAAAGTGGAGAAGTAAAAGAAAGGAAAGGGGGAAGGGGGAAGAGGAAGGGAAGAAGAAAAGGAAAGGGGGAAAGGAAAGGGGAAGGGGAGAAGTAAAAGAAAGGAGAAGAAAGGGGGAAGGGGAAGGGAAGGAGGAAAGGAAAGGGGAAGGGGAGAAGTAAAAGAAAGGAGAAGAAAGCGGGAAGGGAAGAAGGAAAGGAAAGGGAGAAAGAGAAAGGGGAAGGAAAGAAGGAAAGGGAAAGGAAAGGGGAAAAGAGAAAGGGGAAGGGGAGAAGGAAAAGAAAGGAAGGGGAAGGGGAAGGAAAGAAGGAAAGAAGGAAAGGGGAAAAGAGAAAGGGGAAGGGGAGAAGGAAAAGAAAGGGAAGGGGAAGGGGAAGGAAAGAAGGAAAGGAGAAAAGAAAGGGGAAGGAAGTAGGAAAAGAAAGGAAAGGGAGAAGTGGGAAGGGAAGAAGGAAAGGAAAGGAAAGGGGAAAAGAGAAAGGAGGAGGGGAAGGGAAGAAGGAAAAGGAAAGGGAAGTGGGAAGGGGAAGGGAAGAAGAAAGGAAAGGGGAAAAGAGAAAGGAGGAGGGGAAGGAAAGAAGGAAAGGAAAGGAAAAAGAAAAGGAAAACCGGGACGTCTCCCCTCTCTGCTCAGAGATGCCTCTGCAGTCACCCAGCTATGACCCCCTGGCCACCGAGGGCCCGGAGGAGAAGGACTGGGAAGGGGACCAGGAGAAATTGGCCAAGGTGGGCAAGCAAGAGAGGAGAGGTGGGGAGGGGAGGGGGAGGGGTCTTCCTTTCCTCCAGTGTGGGTGATGTCTGCATGTGAGGCTCCAATTTAGAGCCCCGCAGTCATGGTGGACGGATGGACTACAGCTCCCATCACCCCAACACCATGCTTTCTACTGGCTGGGACTCTAGGGGACTTTACTGCCCTGCATCTGGAGGACAGCAGGAGAAGGCCAGCAGATTGGAGATCTCAGTAAAAGTAGGGTTTATTTCTTTATTGCTTTGGAGGGGGAGATTTCAAAACAGTAAAAGCAAGAAAACCATAAAACTGTCTGGTTTGCCTCTGCAACCCAACAAGACAGACACAGATTTCAGAGGATAATTAGAACTGCAGAAAAAACAATGGCCACCAACCTGCCTTCCATTGAGGACCTGTAAACTGTACGAGTCAGAAAGAGGGCTGTGAAAATATCTACAGACCCCTCACATCCTGGACATAAACTGTTTCAACTCCTACCCTCAAAACAACGCTATAGAGCACTGCACATCAGAACAACTAGACACAAGGACAGTTTTTTTCTCGAACGCCATCACTCTGCTAAACAAATAATTCCCTCAACACTGTCAAACTATTCACTAAGTCTGCATTACTATTACTATTAGTCTTCTCATCATTCCTATCACACATCTCCTTCCACTTATGACTGCATGACTATAACTTTGTTACTTGTATCCTTACGATTGATATTATTATTATTTATTATTATTTATTCAATTTATATACCGCCCTTCTCCTAGTGGACTCAGGGCACAGCCAAAACTAAAATACATAACAATACAAAATTTAAAATTAATTAAAAGAATTATATACTTTGGCCTGAATTAAAACAATGCGAATTAAAACCCATTAACAAATTAAAACTAAACAATTAATAACCATTAAAAACTAAAAAATATTGGTATTGATTGTTTCCTGATTGTTTATTTGTTTCCCTATGACTATCATTAAGTGTTGTACCTTATGATTCTTGATGAACATATCTTTTCTTTTATGTACACTGAGAGTGTATGTACCTGTTCTGTTCTGTTCTGTTCTGTTCTGTTCTGTTCTGTTCTATTCTATTCTATTCTATTCTATTCTATTCTATTCTATTCTATTCTATTCTATTCTATTCTACAAGATAACAATGAGCTATCTCGGTTTATTCACAGATTCATTTCAAGATTTTAAAAGGCCATACCGATGCAGTGACCTCCTGTCATTTTTGTTTCGACGATGCCAAAATTATTTCAGGGTCTTTTGATACCACAGTGAAGCTTTGGGTAAGTTTTGTTTTAAGGGCATAAGATCCCATTGCTCTCAAGTCTAAAAGATAATTTAATATAGGAAAACAAAGGCTACATTTTTCATGACTGAAAATCCTTGCCGGAGTTTTTATAATGTCTCCAAATTATAAAGAAAAACTGTAAATATATAATAAAAGAACTTAAGTACACAAACGTAAACCAGATATTATTATAGTTTTATTCAGAGGTGAAATCCAACAGGTTCTGGAGAACCAGTAGTGGAAATTTTGAGTAGTTTGGAGAACTGGCAAATACCACCTCTGGCTGGCCCGAGAGTGGGGTGGGAATGGAGATTTTGCAATATCCTTCCCCCAGGAGTGGGGAGGGAATAGGGATTTTGCAGTATCCTTCCCCTGGAGTGGGGAGGGAATGGGGATTTTGCAGTATCCTTCCCCTGCCATGCCCACTAAGCCATGCCCACCACACCACACCACGCCTACTAAGCCACGCTCACAGAACTGGTAGTAAAAAAATTTGGATTTCACCATTGATTTTATTCCTCCCTCTTCTGTTGGGCTGGTGTTCAGCTAGAAATATTAAGAACCCATTCTTGGATATAGTGGATGGGCTATTCATTAATGATTTGTCTTTTTTCACTCTCGGTGTGCAATTTGTTAACCCATCTTGTCTTTACTGAAGGATACCGCCTGTTCTATTTGCATCCACACCTTTAAAGATCAGCATACTGGACCCGTTTCGGAATGTTGCCTGACTCCTGATAACCGAAGGTGATTATTCTATTGTATCCTATGCACGAGATTTAAATGTATATTATTATTGGATATTCCCCTGAATGGAACTTTGTTATAATGTCTTGCTTAGGACACTTGGAAAAGACCAGGAAATTTCCAAGCAGGACATTTTAATTTTAATAGACAGTTTTTGCACAGCTTATACCTTCTCTTGAAGGGAAACAGTGCCAAGATGTTAAAGGTTTCTCAGTCTGGCTCAGAAAAGATAATAAAGGAATTATCTGGATCATGATGACCCTTAGAGAGCTTAATCAGGACTTGTTTTGTGCCACATTTAGTTGCCAATGCTTGTTCCAAGTGCCAATTGGAGATGGTATGAATTTTTTGTAAAATGCCCCAAAGCCATGTAATCCCTTCCTTCCTTCCTTCCTTCCTTCCTTCCTTCCTTCCTTCCTTCCTTCCTTCCTTCCTTCCTTCCTTCCTTCCTTCCTCCCTCCCTCCCTCTCTCCCTCCCTCCTTCTTTCTTTCTTTCTTTCTTTCCTTCCTTCCTTCCTTCCTTCCTTCCTTCCTCCCTCCCTCCCTCCCTCCCTCTTTCTTTCTTTCTTTCCTTCCTTCCTTCCTTCCTTCCTTCCTTCCTTCCTTTCTTTTCCTTCCTTCCTTCCTTCCTTCCTTCCTTCCTTCCTTCCTTCCTTCCTTCCTTTGATATTTAATTTTTTCAGAAGACAGATCAGATTCAATTTCACCCTGTCAATCTGTTTTATCAATTTTTAGGTTGATAACAGCATCGTATGATAAAACCCTAAAGGCCTGGGACACTGAAACAGGAAAAATGCTTGTATGTATTGATTTTATTTCATGTTGTTTTCAAAGGCCATCTTAAAAACGACCATAGATTTCTGTTTAGCCAAATTATCCATACCAACGTATATCTGAATTCCTCGCAGATGGAGAAAGTCATTGATGAGAATTTTTATCTTGGCCATTGGCCAATCAGCAAATGCAGTAAAGCTGGAATATCATTGTTAAATTGAATTGAATGAAATTAGCTTTTAACACAGTCTATATGGTTATATCAGCAGTGAGTGGTTTCGTATCTGAAGGGCAGGATATATGTATGCAGGCAGTCCTTGACATGCAACACAGTGGTGAAATGTAAAATTTATTACTACTGGTTCTGTGGGCGTGGCTTGGGAGGGGGTAATATGACTGAGTGGGCGTGGCCAATTTTTTAAATTTATTCTTTATTTTATTTTTAAAACCATTTTTTCTACAACCTCTTCGCTGAAGAGGTTGTAAAAAAAATGCTTTTAAAGCCTCTGACGATCCCAGCTGAGTTGCCTGATCGGCAGAGGCTTTCTTTGTTTTAAAAAAGCCTCTGATGATCCCAGCTGAGCGCACGATCATCAGAGGCTTTTTTTTTTTACTTTTAAAAGCATTTTTTCGGCCAAAGAGGTTGTAGAAAAAATGCTTTTAAAAATATAAAAAAAGCCTCTGATGATCACACGGCTCAGATGGGCAGTTGTGGGGGGGCAGGGATTTTTGCTACCGGTTCTCCGAACCACCTGCCTCCATAGCTACCGGATCGGGCGATCCGGTCCAAACCAGGAGCATTTCACCCCTGATGCAACAGTTCATTTAGTGACCATTCGAAGTTATAACCGCACTGAAAAATTTGATACGACCGTGTTTCACAGTTACGACCTTTGCAGCATCCTCAAGGTCCCAAGGTCACGTGGTCCCCAATGGGGAAGCCAGATTCACTTAACAACTGGGTTACTCACTTATCAGCTGCAGGGATTCACTTAACGCGTGCGGCAAGAAAACGGGGCACAACGGGGTACAAACTCACTTAACAAATGTCTCGCTTAACAACAGACATTTTGGGCTCAATTGTGGTCGTACGTCGAGGACTATCTATATGTAATATGGCAACTGTTTTAGGGTATCTGAGCTCACATCTCAGGCAGTCTAAGGAACGTCGCAGCAAAAAAAGAATGGGGGGTAAAAACATGTCCCCCTCAGCACATTTTTTGCAAATCCATTTTTTCACGGACTGACTTTTCTTTAAAAAGCCTTTCTTATGAGGTAGTTTTTGTCGTGCTTTTCCGGTCTGCCCTTCAAACCAATGCCAAGGGTGACTTACCCTCCTGAAAATAAATTCATAATTTGAATCAATTTAAACCATATCGTTTACGAAAATGCTGTCAGAGAGAGGCCGAAGAAGGAGGGGAAGAGGAATAAATAGCAGAGAGCATAAGAAAATCTGTTAAACAAAACCAGGTCTTGATCTGGGGTCAGAACAGGCCTCCAAAAGCTACATAGAGAGAGACCTTTGAATGTTAAATCAGATATATGGTTCTTGTTGATTTACATTATCACTGCAGCAAGATTAGCGTATGCGCAGTAGTGGAAAAATCAATACTTACCGATAGATTTGAAAATAATATATAAAATTAATGAGTATGCGGAATCAGATAGATTAACTAGATTGATCAATGGTAAAAAAGATTCAGAATTTTATAACAGTTGGAAAGTATGTACGATTGGGTCCAGAAAAGGTGGGATAGAATAGATATATGATGATGTATATATATATGGTGGCAAATATGTATGTATAAAGGAATGATTTTATACTTATGGACAATGTAATCATATTATACCATGGTGGCAGGATTGTATATTTTATTTGTGTATTAGTGTATAGAATATATTAATAAAAATTATATATATAAAAAAAAAATTCATAATTTGAATCAATTTAAACCATATCGTTTACGAAAATGCTGTCAGAGAGAGGCCGAAGAAGGAGGGGAAGAGGAATAAATAGCAGAGAGCATAAGAAAATCTGTTAAACGAAACCAGGTCTTGATCTGGGGTCAGAACAGGCCTCCAAAAGCTATATAGAGAGAGACCCTCTCCCATGAAAATAAACCCTCAGTCCACCCTTAAAGGGGGGAAAAAAGCAATAAAAGATAGCAGATGATATTCCGGGGAGGGGGGGGGTATGTGTATCAAAATTCCAAGTACAGGGATGTCCCCTTGGTTAAAAAAAAATCAAGATGGCGGCCAATATCATATGATTGAAACTCTTTGATCACGCGATATTGGCCCCCACCTTATTTTTTTTTTCATCCCTTTCCTCTTGCAGACCTCTTGAAGAGCAAAAAAAAAAAAAAAAAGAAATGGGAGAGACTTTTGATGGGGCATCCTACAAAGTCCACCAAGGAGAGAATTTAAATACAGCTAGCCCTTGACTTACAACAGTTCATTCAGTCACAAGGGCACTGAAAAAAAGTGACTTATGACCCTTTTTCATAGTTACACAACCTTTGTAGCATCCCCATGATCGGATGACCAAAATTCAGATGCTTGGCAACTGATTCATACTTATGACCATTGCAGTATCCCGGGGGGGTGTCATGCAATGCATTCCCTGTTGTGACCTTCTTACGAGCAAAATCAATGGGGAAGCCAGTCTCACTTAACAACCGTGTCATTAACTTAACAGCTGCAGTGATTCAATTCACTGTGGCAAGAAAGGTCGTAAAACGGGGTGAAATTCACTTAATAACTGTCTCTCTTAGCAACAGAAATTTTGGGCTCAATCAAGAACTACAATCTCTACAGTCTGTTTTTAGTGCATCGCAAGGGAGTAAAAAAAAATTGGGAGTTTTTCTCCAACGTCTCACTTTGTTTGACCCTAAGTGGAATTCATAATAATCTGATGATAATTAATTAATTTTCTTGAACACCATATGGCTCAGGTTGCTAAAGCTAATGAGGTTAATTGCACTGAAACCAATGAGACGGATTACTTGCTATTCATATCTTTAGTCAAACCCTTCTGGGAAAATGCTTATGATCAACTAATTAAAAGAAAATAGTTACAACTGGATCAATATTTTAAAACAAAGAGTCTTGGATGTCCTTTGGATATATAAAATAAATTTGGTGGTTTTTTTCCCGCCCCCCACATTCTATAGTGGTCTCTGAGTCAGGATGGCCTGGTAACTACATGCCATATTTCACATGATGGCAAGTACGTTGTCTCTGGCTCGGATTTGGAGAATGCGTTATTCATCTGCAATGTTGAAGATGGTGAAGAGGTGGCATTCATCCGAGGTACAGTTTCTGAACTTTGGTTGACGTCCTTTTTCTTCTGGTAAAAGGTGAAGTCAGTAGCAACAGTCCCACGTTGGGGTGGAGCGGGGTCATAATTGGCAAGATGACACATTCAGAATGGACAGGGCTTTGGTTACATCCAACTCTCTGTCCATCATCTTGAAGGTTTTGGCCTTCAACCCCATGGATACCACTAGATGAAATATACCTGAGGTTGTGGAAGAACGGTGGCAGAAATTTGGTATGTCTAGTTTAATGAAAAGAAGTACTGGAGATGACATGATAGAAGTGTCCCAATACCTTAAGAGGCAGCTACAAAGAAAAGGGGTCAAACCTACCCTGTTTCCCCCAAAATAAGACATCCCCTGATAATAAGCCCAATCGGGCTTTTGAGCACATGGCAATAAGGCCAAGCGCTTATTTCAGGGTTCAAAAAAAATATAAGACAGGGTCTTAATTTCGGGGAAACACGGTATTCTCCAAAGCACCTGAAGGCAGGACAAAAAGCAATGGATGGAAACTAATCAAGGAGAGAACCAACCTAGCACTAAGGAGAAATTTCCTGACAGTGAGAACAATTAAGCAGTAGAATAACTTGCCTCCAGAAGTTGTGAATGCTCCAACACTGGAGGTTTTTAAGAAGAAATTGGACAACCATTTGTCTGAAATGCTTTAGAGTCTCCTGCCTAAGCAGGGGGTTGGACTAGAAGACCTCCATGGTCCCTTCCAATTCTGTAATTCTGATATAATCGGTCAGCCTTTGACCACTGGAGTATCTGTATGAACCTCCAACCTTTTGATGGTTGGAGGCCAAACCAGGTACCACTTGATACCTGCAGAATCTTTCTTTCAGATTATCACAGAAGTACAATTCAAAGTTGCCGGTTCGATCCTGTCAACCAGAGAATAGCTACGGTGTCCTCTGACATGTCTATAAAATTCTGGGATATCATCGCAAGGGCTACCACAGTCACCATTGAAGGGTAAGAAACCAATGTAGTATGATTTTATTATAAATTTGTTGGCTTTATCTAATGTTGTTGTTAGTTGTGAAGTCGTGTCCAACCCATCGCGACCCCATGGACAACGTTCCTCCAGGCCTTCCTGTCCTCTACCATCCCCCGGAGTCCATTTAAGCTCACACCGACTGCTTCAGTGACTCCATCCAGCCACCTCATTCTCTGCCGTCCCCTTCTTCTTTTGCCCTCAATCGTTCCCCGCATTAAGCTCTTCTCCAGGGAGTCCTTCCTTCTCATTAGGTGGCCAGAGTATTTGAGTTTCATCTTCAGGATCTGGCCTTCTAAAGAGCAGTCAGGGTCGATCTCCTCTAGGACTGACCGGTTTAGCATATTATTGGTTCGATTTATATGCCGCCCTTCTCCGGAGACTCAGAGTGGCTTACAATGCGTTAAGCAATAGCCTTCATACTTTTGTATATACTTGCTTAGTAGGGCTTTCGGTCCTCCCTAAGCGGTGTTCTTTTTTATACAAAGTCAGCTTATTGACCCCACAATCCAGGTCCTCATTTTACCTACCTCGAAAGGATGGAAGGCTGAGTCAACCTTGATATATTGATAATGTTTATCTACTCGCCTTTTGACTGGCTTCCATAAAATTCGGAACTGGCCTTGGATAATGCAAGATTGGTCTATTATCCCCTTTATTCCAAATGTGGCCATTATACCAAAAAAAAAAAAAAAAGAACTCAGAAGATCATTAATTAGTTCATTAATCTTCTCTGCAATTACACAGCAATAGCCCTCTTGTCCTTTAGATAACCACATCTCAGCCTGTTAATGTGAAATGTCATGTTTCTTTCAGGGCACACACCAATGCCATTGCAGATTGCTGCTTCTCTTTGGATGGCCATTATCTGTGTACAGCAGGGTGGGATGAAAATATCAAATTATGGGATGTCCGTACGGGAGAATTCCGGTCTCATGGGCCTATGACTTTGGATCCAGGTCACATAGGCATTGTTGGCAGCTGTGATTTTAGCAAAGACGGTGAGTTATGTATGATGAATAATCTTAGCACCAACAGAGAGAGAAGAAGGTTAGTTCAGGGCTGTCTCCCAGATTCACGTTGAAACCGCTTTCTCAGAGCGATTAAATTACTGCTTCTATAATTTGAACTAAATTGAATTTGCATTGCCCTTTAATTAGCCTTATAAAACACTCTATAATTGATGCAGTTATTATGATGTACTGCTTCTTTTTGGCCCCGGGAATAAAATATTTGTCCATCCAAAACGTGTAGAATGGGGAAAATTGTGCTCAAATCACGATTTAGTCATTCAGTCTACCTCCTGTGGAGATATGGTGGAATAAAGTATCTTAATGGAAGGGTTTTTATTAGGAAATCTGTTTTTCCCCACGTTACGTTCAATACTTTCTCCCTCTGCTGGCTTATAAAAATACCTTTGAACTGACCTCCACTGCCAGTGACTACCTCCAAGTATATTTCTTAGTAGCATTACCTAATTGGCCAAGCCATATAATAACCTGAGTAAAAGATATTAATATCTATCTATCTATCTATCTATCTATCTATCTATCTATCTATCTATCTATCTATCTATCTATCTATCTATCTACCTACCTACCTACCTACCTATCTAGCTAGCTATCTAGCTATCTAGCTATCTAGCTATCTTATATCATCTGTCTCAGGGGTGGGCTGCTGAGGGTTTGCAGGGGTTCAGGAGAAACTCTAGCTAAGATTCTGTGCAGTTCAGAGAACCCCCAAATTCCACTCCTGGCTGTTCCCGCCCACCCCTCCCCTCCCAGGAGTTCCCATGTGGCCCGTTTTGGATGCAGGTAAGTGCAGGGCATGCGCAGAGGCTTGGGGAGGGCAAAAAATGGGCCCATCGGAAGTTCAGGAAGGCCTGTTTCTGGCCTCCAGAGAGCCTCCGGAGCCTGGGGAGGTCATTTTCGCCCTCCCAGACACTCCAGGAACGCCTCTGAAGCCCAGGGAGGGCAAAAAGCTGTGGTGCAGGAGGCTGACTAGTCCACACCCACCATGGCCACGCCCACTCAGCAACTGGGCAGAGAACCCCTTACTAAAATTTTTGAAGCCCACCCCTGATCTATCTCTATTATTTCTATTATCCATCAATCATCATCATCATCATTTCTCTCTCGCCTCTCTCTCTCTTCTTCATCTCTCTCTTCCCATCTCTATCTATCGGTCTATCTGAATTTTTATATGGGCCTAAATAATAAGACTTCCAGGATTAATCTGAAGTCATGAGGTGACCACAGATAGCCAAGAAAACAAACCAATGAATAATCTAACAAATGTAACCAGAGTTTTCACACAGATGACCAGGCTAAATTATCATACTTTGCACACATTATGTTAACGACATAGTTTTTTGAAAAAGGTGGAAAGCAAGGGAGACAACCAGCAACAAAGTGGATGAATTGATTACAGTGGAGATAGGTTGAAAGACCTGAGGGAGCAGGTTGGGGACAGATCATCCTGGAATAAATCCAGGGGTGAAATCCGGCAAGTTCTGACAGGTTCTGGAGAACCGGTAGCGGAAATTTTGAGTAGTTTGGAGAACTGGCAAATACCACCTCTGGCTGGCCCCAGAGGGGGGTGAGAATGGAAATTTTGCAATATTCTTCCCCCAGGAGTGGGGAATGGGGATTTTGCAGTATCCTTCCCCTGGAGTGGGGAGGGAATGGAGATTTTGCAGTATCCTTCCCCTGCCACGCCCACCAAGCCACAGCCAAGCCACACCCACCAAGCCATGCCCACAGAACCGGTAGTAAAAAAAGTTTGGATTTCACCACTAAGTAAATCTATATTATGTGGTTATTAGAAATCAACACTGATTCAATGGCACAGAAATCAATCAGTCTGTCAATCAATCAATCAATCTGATTCCTTGTGCCCTAAAGATATTCATTTATACCACTAGTTGCTAGTGGATGAATTATTGTTCCACCAAAATCTGAATTCGTTGTTTTCCTATTTCAGTTAGACATTTGTGCCTACTTTGCATTTCTTACACATCCCAACTCAATTCCTGTTCCTTTATTTCTGTTCTGTGCCAAGTTATTATTACTGCACTTTATCATATGGAAGTTTATGCACCATATTTAATGTTTACGGTGTTCAGGATCAACAGAGCTGGGGCTTTTCTTTTCTTTTTTTTTCTCCCAATAAATTTAAACAAACTCAGAATTTCTGCTTGCAGTTTAAAGGCATTCATTCTCCTTTGAGAGCCTCGGAAAATACGTGGAAACATGACTAATACCCTTAACGCGTCATCCGAATTATATTTCAGAGTTTTTGTAGAACAGCTTTGGCTCTTTCATAACAATAGAAGGCCATCCCGTGTGGCATAATTGTGTTTCTATTTCAGCCTCGTGCGTGGTGTCTGGAGGTTATGACAAAACCATCGGTGTCTGGGACATAGGAGAAGCATATCAAAAGATATCCTTAAAGGTACTGAAACAGCTCTTATTTTATCAAACAGGGATTCAAATGGCCTCAGTACAGGTAGTCCTCGACACATGACCACAATCGAGCCCAAAATTTCCATTGCTAAGCAAGACAGTTGTTAAGAAAGTCGCAAAAGGGACCCTGCAATGCATCATAGATACATGCCAGTCGTCCATTTTGACCACGTGACCAAACGGGAATCACAGGAAGCCTGGAAGAATGCCGCTATCTTAAGTACATGCCAGTTGCCAAGCGCCCAAATTTTTGATCACGTGACCATGATGCACGTGCAATGCTCATCGGTGTGAAAACTGGTCTGAAGTCACTTTTTAAAGTGCCGTTGTAACTTTGCACAGTCACTATAAAAAACTGGTTGTAAATTGAGGACTACCTGGATTCAGGTTTTTAAGAAGAGATTGCACAACCATTTGTTCAGAATGGTATAAGGTCTCCTGCTTGTATAGGGGGAGAAGTAGAGTAGAGTAGAGTAGAGTAGAGTAGACCAAAGTAGAGTAGAGTAGAGTAGAGTAGAGTAGAGTAGAGTAGAGTAGAGTAGAGTTGGAAGGGACCTTGGAGGTCTTCTAGTCCAACCCCCTGTCTAGGCAGGAAACCTTACACCACTTCAGACAAATAGTTATCCAACCTCTTCTTAAAAACTTCCAGTGTTGGAGCATTCACAACTTCTGGAGGCAAGTCGTTCCACTGATTAATTGTTCTCAACTGTCAGGAAATTTCTCCTTAGTTCTCTAGGTTGCTTCTCTCCATCTAGCTTGGACTAAAAGACCTCCAAATTCCCTTCCAACTCTATTATTCTATTATTCTGTTTTTATGTAGTAAAATAAACGGGTTGATACCTCCTTAGTATAGATCATTTGAATGTCCCTGTGAGGTTTCGAGGTCATCTCAAATAAATTGCATTTCAAACAAAATCTTTGAAGTAAAACTCCCATTTATTAAGCACGACATTCTGAATCCGACTCCAATTGCAGCCAACACTGACTTCCAGACCCAAAACCCTCCCTTTCCGTTCCCTGCACTCATTGGCCATCTTCCAAGTCACTCTACCCCTATCTACTGCTCCAACTCAAAGGAATTTCCCCCCTCCCATCCCATCTCCTAGGGGATATTATCTCCAGGGAAAATAAGTAGGTGAAAACTCAAAACATCCCTTTCCAGATGCCTCCGCTTCTTCTTCCTATGTCAGCACTAGAGTAAATGCAGCTTGAAGTGCTGACAGTCCCAATGACAATATAGCTTGAAACGTTTCTTTCTCCCTCATCTTTTTGCTCAGCATTCGTAGCTGTTCTGGAAGCATGCTTCAGAAGCTTCTGGCTGTCCCACCTTTGCCATGTTCCTAGCCCCAGCCCCTGCTCAGTCGTTTGTGAAAGCAAACTAGCAATTGAATTATGGTTGCTAGGCAACTGGAACATCATTCTTCGGGTGATTCATGATCAACCGTTGCAATTATTTCAGCCGTAGCCCGTGACGCTCTTGAGATTGAAATCTGTTAACTCAAACAAGCCAGAATGTTTGTATATAAACTAGAGTGGAACAAACTGAAATTCTCAAGTGATTATATTCATTTTACTGGTCCTGGATGAGGACTTAATAAAAAGGAGGCCCTGCCTTCTTTGTGCATTGCTGCTATAACATTAGAAAGGTGTAAGAGATGACGGAATAATCTATATATTGTCCATAAGACTGGAAACTAGGAAAGACAACAAGATTTCTTACCCATCCATCCTTTTGTTTGGCTGTTAAAAATCATAATATGTGAAGCCCCACAGAAAATCAATGTATAAATAAATGTATAAATAAAATAAAACAAAATAAAAATAAAACAAGGGCCTGATGGCTCAGCAGACTGATAGCATTGTGATTAACGCCAGCTGTCTGCAATTACTGTAAGTTCGAATCTCACCAGGCTCAAGGTTGACTCAGCCTTCCATCCTTTCTAAGGTAGGTAAATTGAGGACCCAGTTTGTGGGGGCAATAAGCTGACTTTGTATAAAAAAAAGAAAAAGAAAAAAAGAACACCGCTTTTGGGGGGGGGGGGCGAAAGCCCTACTAAGCAGGTATATACAAAAGTATGAAGGCTATTGCTTAACTCATTGTAAGCCGCCCTGAGTCTCCGGAGAAGGGCGGCATATAAATCGAACCAATAAATAAATAAATATGAATCAGTTCTCAAGCTTCTGAAGGTAAATCAAGATGTCCATGGGGATGCTGCAACGGTCATAAGGGTGAAAAATGATCATCAGTCCCTTTTTTCGGTGCCATTGTAACTTTGAACGGTCACTAAATGAAGTACTATAAGTTGAGAACTACCTGTAGTGGAATGAAACAGAAATGAAACCTACCAGGGTAATTTTCAGCCCGCTTCTCCAAATTAAATTGGATATTACTTTTTTCTCGGTAGCCTTAGGACCGTAGCTAGAAATCTAGCTAAGAATGTGCTTTATGTCTTAAACTGCTGATAAATTATGTTTTTGTAGGGTCATGCTGATTGGGTGACAGATGTGGCCATTAGCCAGGACAAGAAACTTCTTGTTTCCTCTTCAAAGGTATTATCAAAAGTCATCAGATAATGCACTGAAATGTTTCAACACTTGCAATAGTAGATTATCTTTGCGGCCATGCATCACAGTTCCAAACTGGTCTTCAAGCGATAAAATTCTCAGTACGCCTTACAGCTAATCCTCGCCTTACGACCACAATGGAGTCCAAAATTTCTGTTGTTAAGCGAGACATCTGTTAAGTGAGTCAGCCTATTCTCCAAAGCACCTAAAGCAGGGGTGAAATCCAGCAGGTTCTGGAGAACCAGTAGCGGAAATTTTGAATAGTTCGGAGAACCGGCAAATGCTACCTCTGGTTGTCCCCAGGAGTGGGGAGGGAATGGGAATTTTGCAATATCCTTCTCCCAGGAGTGGGGTGGGAATGGGGATTTTGCAGTATCCTTCCCCTGGAGTGGGGAGGGAATGGAGTTTTTGCAGTATCCTTCCCCTGGAGTGGGAGGGAATGGGGATTTTGCAATATCCTTCCCCTGGAATGGGGTGGGAATGGGGATTTTGTCGTATCCTTCCCCCAGGAGTGGGGAGGGAATGGGGATTTTGCAGTATCCTTCCCCTGGAGTGGGGAGGGAATGGAGATTTTGCAGTATCCTTCCCCCAGGAGTGGGGAGGGAATGGAGATTTTGCAGTATCCTTCCCCCTGTCATGCCCACCAAGCCACTGTCCTAAAGGCAGGACAAGAAGCAATGGATGGAAACTAAACAAGGAGAGAAGCAACGTAGAATTAAGGAAAGCATTTCCTGACAGTGAGAACAATTAATCAGGGGAACGACTTGCCACCAAAAGTTGTGAATGCTCCAAAACTGGAGGTTTTCAAGAAGAGATTGGACAACCAATTGTCTAAAATGCCATAGGGTTTCCTGCCTGAGCAGGGGGTTGGACTAGAAGACCTCCAAGGTCCCTAAAATCAGGTACAAGTCCTTTAATAACCACCTTGCTTAGCAACGGAAATTCTGGTCCCAATTGTCATCGTACATTGAGGACTACTTTATTGTCTAGTCATTGGAAGAACAACCACATAAGTTGAGATAATACAAACAGTTTGGCATGGCTTCGTCAATTAATTTTTTTAGGTAACTAAAGAATCCTGGCAACCAAGGAAACCACGGAAAAAACGTGGCGTATTGTAGTCCAGCCATTGTCTGGAAGAACTGCAATTCCGTTCATGGATACAAAATTCTTCTAATATTATAGGACCAGACAGTGAGATTATGGGATATTAAAAATGCCAACGAAATCCCCATGGTGATTCAAGCCGTGAAAACCAAAGGTTCCAAAATCTGCAAGGTCAGTATATTTAATAGAAGTGACAGATTTGATGGGATGGGATGGGATGGGATGGGATGGGATGGAATCAGGGGTGAAATGCTCCCGGTTCAGACCAGTTCAGCTGAACCGGTAGCGATGGCGGCCAGTGGTTCGGAGAACCACTAGCGATGGCGGCGTGAGGCTCCGCCCACCCGCCCGGTCATCGTTACTTCCTGGTTTTAACCTGGAAGTAACCTGTTTTTTACCCTCTGTGCATGCGCAGAAGAGTTTGCGCATGCACAGAGGGTCCGTGCGCGTGGGGAGCATGCATTTCCAAACCAGTTGGGAAGGTAAGTAGATTTCACCCTGGAATGGAATGGAATGGAATGGAATGGAGTGGAGTAGAATAGAGTAGAGTAGAGTAGAGTAGAGTAGAGTGGAGTGGAGTGGAGTGGAGTGGAGTGGAGTGGAATGGAATGGAATAAGAGTAGAATTGGGATGGGATGGGATGGAATCGGGTGAAATGCTCCCGGTTTTTACCAGTTCGGAGAACTGGTAGCAATGGTGGCAGGAGGCTTCACCCACCCGCCTGGTCGTTGTTACTTCCTGGTTTTAACCAGGAAGTAACCTGTTTTTTACCTCTGCGCATGCACAGAGGGTCCACGCACGCGGGGTGCGTGCACTTCCAAACCAGTTGGGAAGATAAGTAGATTTCACCCTGGAATGGAATGGAATAGAATGGAATAGAATGGAATAGAATAGAATAGAATAGAATAGAATAGAATAGAATAGAATAGAATAGAATAGAATAGAAAAAATGTGGAGAAATAGTGAGTTGCAACTTAAGTGCATGTAGATGGCCAATTTTTGGCATGGAAGAGTGGTCAGTTCCAGAAACAGATTGAGCGTCAGATGCCTATTACAGTTGAATTTCTTTTTTAACACCAACATCCAGTGTGAAGAATGTCAAAAATCTTTTCTGATCTTCCGGAACAAAGAAGACACAATAGAAACCCGGTGTGTATTTTGTCGACTAGCATCTCCCAACGAAGTTGTTTTACCGCTGCCCCCGCTTTGCCTCCAGATCTCTAAAGGATTCAGCAGCGAGCCGATTTTAAAACATTTGTCAACATCGCAATCTTTTTTTTAATTTAACTTTGAAGTTTTCCTGTAACGTCGTGTGGCAAATAAAATGAAATAAAAATTTCCACTCCGAATTTACCTTCTGTTCAATTCTCTGCGGTCAGATTAAAAAACGGTGAAGACAGAACCGTTGAAAGAATTCAGCTCATCCTTCTAATGGGCAGATACAGGTAGCCAGGGGTGGGTTCTAAAATATCTAAAATATCCTTCCCCAGGAGTGGGTGGGAATGGAGATTTTACAGTATCCTTCCTGGAGTGAGGAGGGAATGGAGATTTTACAGTATCCTTCCCTGGAGTGAGGAAGGAATGGAGATTTTGCAGTATCCTTCCCCTGGAGTGAGGAGGGAATGGAGATTTTACAGTATCCTTCCCCTGAGTGAGGAAGGAATGGAGATTTTACAGTATCCTTCCCTGGAGTGAGGAGGGAATGGAGATTTTACAGTATCCTCCCCTGGAGTGGGAGGGAATGGAGATTTTACAGTATCCTTCCCCTGGAGTGGGGTGGGAATGGAAATTTACAATATCCTTCCCAGGAGTGGGGAGGGAATGGAGATTTGACAGTATCCTTCCTGGAGTGGGGTGGCAATGGAGATTTTACAGTATCCTCCCCTGCCACATCCACTAAGCCATGCCACGCTCACCAAGCCACACCCACAGAACCGGTAGTAAAAAAAATTCACTAGGTTAGTGAACTGTTTACAAACAGTTCATTAAATGAACTGTTGTAAGTCGAGGACTACCTCTATTGCTTTCAGTTCACTTCACCAGTTTAAGTCTTGCAGAAGACAAGGCTTTGACTATCAATTGATTATGACTGGTTCTTGTGCGTTATTGATAGGGGATTTTTCAGACATCATAAATATGGGTGACATAAATAGCAGGTGTGATTAGGAGGAAAACCCTTATGAATTATAGCGCATTTGTGCACCAGCGCGGATTCGATCTCATTCAAAATAATAAAATTGCTTTATAGAATTTGAATACTTTTAGTTCACAGCAGGGAAAAAAAATGGGTATCGAGTCAGCCTGGGCTGTAATAGCTTTTAGAGATAGCTGCATAATGGGATAAACCTTGAACTAATGTAAGAGTTTAAAGTGCTATGTTGTGTAAATGAAATTGCTCCTAATCCTGTTGTATGTTTCTCCCCCCAGATAAATTATACGGCGTTGTAATAAAATGTCACTTTAGAAAAAAAAAACAAAACGCACATCGCAGTACCCTGTGATGTGAACTCTTCAATAAATGTAACGGCGCTTTAATAAAAGCATTTTAAATACATTATATGCCATTCCGGGCTTTTCTTTTCATAATATTATAAAGCCGTGATGTATCGCTCCTGGAGTTCATTTTCCTGGTAATTATTATTGAACTGAATAATTCATGGATTTAGGGAAAAGGTTGGCCCTGATTTAATTAAACAATATTTTCCACTACAGGCAGTATTGTTTTTTCCTTATTCTCAATTTCCCTCAAGAATAGGATTATCCTTGAAGGCGAAAGCTTAGCTGTTGAACGGAATTTTATCTGACATTGCCCTCCGTGTATTTATTTATTTATTTATTTATTTATGCATGAAACAAATTTATATAGCTGCCAAATTCACACGAAGTAATTCCGGGCAGTGTACAGGTAGCCCAACATTTCTGTTGTTAAATGAGACATTTTTTTTTTTAAGTGAGTTTGGTCCCATTTTACGACTTTTCTTGCCTCGTTCTTAAGCGAATCACCGCCGTTGATAAGTTAGTGAGCCAGGTTGTTAAGTGAATCCGGCTTCCCCGTTGACTTTGCTTCTCAGAAGGTCGCAAAAAGGGGATCGTGTCACGGTCGTAAATATGAACCAGTTGCCAAGCGTCTCAGTTTTGATCACGTGACTACGGGGATGCTGCCAGGGTCGTAAGAGTGGAAACGGTCGTTAAGTCGCTTTTTTCCGTGCTGTTGTGACTTTGAACGGTCACTAAAGGAGCTGGTGTAAGTCGAGGACTACCTGTACAGCATTTAAAAAACACGGTTTAACACATGTACGCTCAGTCCCATCCCCACCTCACAGCCATGGCTACACAATCACACAAGCCATTTGATCAGCTCCAAATGGGGTCCCCAAGCTGTTGACTAAACCATTGTCAGTCCTGGAAGCCATTTTTCTCTTTCGTTGGGGGTGTTAACTTGGAACCCTGACATTCCTCTCTTTAAGACCTTGTGGAGAAGCAGCAAAGTGGGGCCTAATCTTAACTTTGGGGGAACGATGTCCCAAAGACAGGGAGCCACCACAGAGAAGGCCAGTTCTAGAGAACCGGTAGCGGAAATTTTGAGTAGTTCGGAGAACCAGTAAATACCACCTCTGACTGGCCCCGCCCCCAACTATTCTCCGCCTCCCGAGTCCCAGCCGATCGGGAGGAAATGGGGATTTTACAGTATCCTTCCCCCAGAGTGGGGTGGGAATGGAGATTTTTGCAGTATCCTTCCCCTGGAGTGTGGTGGGAATGGAGATTTTGCAGTATCCTTCTCCTGGAGTGGGAGGGAATGGAGATTTTGCAGTATCCTTCTCCTGGAGTGGGGAGGGAATGGAGATTTTGCAGTATCCTTCCCTGGAGTGGGGAGGGAATGGAGATTTTACAGTATCCTTCCCCTGGAGTGGGGTAAGGAATGGAGATTTTGCAGTATCCTTCCCTGGAGTGGGGAGGGAATGGAGATTTTGCAGTATCCTTCCCTGGAGTGGGGTAAGAATGGAGATTTTGCAGTATCCTTCCCTGGAGTGGGGAGGAATGGAGATTTTGCTGTATCCTTCTCCTGGAGTGGGGAGCGAATGGAGATTTTGCAGTATCCTTCCTTCCAGTGGGAGGATCATTGCAAAATCTCCATTCCCTGCCCACTCCAGGGAAAGATACTGCAAAATCTCCATTCCCTCTCCACTCCTGGGGGAAGGATACTGCAAAATCCCCATTCCCACCCCACTCTGGGGCCAACCAGAGGTGGTATAATTTGCCGGTTCTCTGAACTACTCAAAATTTCCGCTACCGGTTCTCCAGAACTTGTCAGAAGCTGCTGGATTTCATCCTTGGGTTGGAGGTCCATCTAATAATGGTTGACCAAGTTGGGCGAGCCAAGGCCATCCTGGCTACAAGGTCAGCAGCTGGGAGACACTTGATGGGACTGAAACTGCAATTTAAGGAACTTCAAAGTCCATCATCCTTTGAGTCATTTGCAAATGTTGCTTTTCGTGGAGGCTGGTTTTCTTCTTCTTCTTCTTCTTCTTCTTCTTCTCTTCTTCTTCTTCTTCTTCTTCTTCTTCTTCTTCTTCTTCTTCTTCTTCTTCTTCTTCTTCTTCTTCTTCTTCTTCTTCTTCTTCTTCTTCTTCTTCTCATCATCATCATTAAAGAGGACCTGAAATGACAGCTCAGTTCCTAGCTCCTTGGGCTGAAAGAAAGTAGAAGAATGCAGGTTTTTTTTTTTAAAAAAAAAACAAATATTTGAAATTCAAAGTAAAACATCCAGATGGCTCCATGGGGGCTGAGATCTCTCCTTCGCTCCTGGATATTTCTAATGACATCTTTTAATTATGGTATTTGCACTGCTGTGCTCCAGTTGGCCCCCAGAAGCATTTATTTGCAGCCTGCAAAAAATAATAATAATAATTATTATTCTCCTTCCTCCCCCCCCTCTTTTCAGCCCCTTTTGCGTTTCCCACCAGCGACGCTCTTTCAAAGCCAGCTCTTCCCCGCTAAGACACATGAAGCCGGATCTGCGCCTGTGCTCAGCAGCCGGCGCCGTGGCTTAGTTGGTTAAAGCGCCTGTCTAGTAAACAGGAGATCCTGGGTTCGAATCCCAGCGGTGCCTCTGGAGCGGAGACTTCCGTTTTGCGTTAAGAAATATATATTTATTTAATTGTGCCTTTTCAATCCTCTTCGTTCGTTTGCACGGTGGGGGGCAGTCGCTGTAGAACGGGGAGCTGCAGAAAAGGGCTCGCTTTTCATAAAGCCCGTTCAAGTTTTTTTTTTATTTCCCCCGGTTTTTCTTCCTCTGCAGGTTTCCAAGGGGCCTGATCGTTTGAATCCACCTGTTCTTAGAGACCCTTTTTCCTGCAAAAAAATTCACATCTGGGGGTCAGGCTCCCCTTCCTGTACAGCTTTTTACAAGACTAGAGACCCCATATATATGCATCTTGGGAGGGAGGGAGGGAGGGAGGGGAGGGAGGGAAGGAAGGAAGGAAGGAAGGAAGGAAGGAAGGAAGAAAGAAAGAAAAGAAAGAAAGAAAGAAAGAAAGAAAGAGGGAGGGAGGAAGGGGAGAAAAGAAATAGGGAGGGAGGAAGAAAGAAAGAAAAGAATGAAAGGAGGGAGGGAGGAAATGGGGAGGAGGGAGGAAAGAAGGGAGGGAGGGAGAGTGAGGGAGGGAAGAAATGGGGAGGGAGGGAAGAAAGAAAGGGAGGGAAGGAGGGAGGGAGGGAGGGAGGAAGAGGAGGAAAGAAATGGGGAGGGAGAAGAAAGAAAGAAAGGAGGGAGGGAGGGAAGAAATGGGGAGGAGGGAGGAAAGAAGGGAGGAAGGGAGGAAGGAAGGAAGGAAGGAAGAGGAAGAAAGAAATGGGGAAGGAGGAAGAAAGAAAGAAAGAAAGAGAAAGAAAGAAAGAAAAAGAAAGGAGGAGGGAGGGAGGGAAGAAATGGGGAGGGAGGAAAGGAGGGAGGGAGAGAGAGAGAAGGAGATAAGAGGGAGGGAAGAAACAGGGAGGGAGGGAGAAAAGGAAGAGAGGAAGGGAGGGAAGAAGGATGGAAGGAAGAAAGGAAGGAAAAAAGAGAAAGGAAGGAAAGGAAAAGAAGGAAGGGCTAGAGTTAGGGTTAGGTAACACAGTTCAAAGTGTATTGTAGCTTTCATCTCTAAACAAGGAGCAAAGATCTATTTGGCTGCATCAAAAACCAAGGGGATATTCGGAAATCGCTACGAACGGTTTCAGTATCTGACCTGCTGAAACATTATGAAATTTTGTGACTCTCTTCAAATCAAATGACGTGCAGGATTGAAAGAAAAGGAATGTTTGGGCGGAACGGAGCCAATTCATAGAAAAACATCACATTAAAAATGCA